CTCTCTCTCGCTCTCTCTCTCTCTCTCTCTCTCTCTCTCTCTCTCTGTCTTTGTTTTTCTTGTCACATTCAGTCCGACAGGAGGCTTTTTGCACTCACGTTGGCAGACACAGAGCCACTGTTCGCCCTATGGCATAGGCATAGGTCTTCTGAGAATCACACTGAATTTAATTTCATGTGACTCAAGCTGCCTCTGCTGAGACAAATCCAAACAAAAACACTTTCCATTTCACTCATGCTGCTTTTTATTTCAGGTTTGTTGTCATATGTGCTGCAGCATTTAGATTAGTTCATCTAACACGGGGTGTCAAACTCAAGGGCCGCTGACCAAATGCGGCCCGTGAGTTCATTTGATGTGGCCGGCAAGAGCTTGCAAAGAATATAATACGTTTATTATACGCTTTCATGCCGCTTTACAGAAGCACTTTGCCCATAAACTACATGTCCCACAATGCATCTCTATTTGTGACATACACACCGAAGCGACTTGGAATTATTTGCCCTAGACTTCTGCTTTCAGACGTAGTTAATTATGAAGTTATTACCCTATCCGATAATCATCCAATGCAGAGGCAATAATGTAATATAATACATTATTTTATATAGTTTTAAAGGTCACCTATTATGCAAAATCCACTTCTTCATGTCTCTTCTACATCAACATGTGTCCCCTCTTCTTCACGTCTCTTCTACATCAACATGTGTCCCCTCTTCTTCATGTCTCTTCTACATCAACATGTGTCCCCTCTTCTTCACGTCTCTTCTACATCAACATGTGTCCCCTCTTCTTCATGTCTCTTCTACATCAACATGTATCCCCTCTTCTTCATGTCTCTTCTACATCAACATGTGTCCCCTCTTCTTCATGTCTCTTCTACATCAACATGTGTCCCCTCTTCTTCATGTCTCTTCTACATCAACATGTATCCCCTCTTCTTCATGTCTCTTCTACATCAACATGTGTCCCCTCTTCTTCATGTCTCTTCTACATCAACATGTGTCCCCTCTTCTTCATGTCTCTTCTACATCAACATGTGTCCCCTCTTCTTCATGTCTCTTCTACATCAACATGTGTCCCCTCTTCTTCATGTCTCTTCTACATCAACATGTATCCCCTCTTCTTCATGTCTCTTCTACATCAACATGTGTCCCCTCTTCTCCATGTCTCTTCTACATCAACATGTGTCCCCTCTTCTTCATGTCTCTTCTACATCAACATGTGTCCCCTCTTCTTCATGTCTCTTCTACATCAACATGTGTCCCCTCTTCTTCATGTCTCTTCTACATCAACATGTATCCCCTCTTCTTCATGTCTCTTCTACATCAACATGTGTCCCCTCTTCTTCATGTCTCTTCTACATCAACATGTGTCCCCCTCTTCTTCATGTCTCTTCTACATCAACATGTGTCCCCTCTTCTTCATGTCTCTTCTACATCAACATGTGTCCCCTCTTCTTCATGTCTCTTCTACATCAACATGTGTCCCCTCTTCTCCATGTCTCTTCTACATCAACATGTGTCCCCTCTTCTTCATGTCTCTTCTACATCAACATGTGTCCCCTCTTCTTCATGTCTCTTCTACATCAACATGTGTCCCCTCTTCTTCATGTCTCTTCTACATCAACATGTATCCCCTCTTCTTCATGTCTCTTCTACATCAACATGTGTCCCCTCTTCTTACATGTCTCTCTTCTACATCAACATGTGTCCCCTCTTCTTCATGTCTCTTCTACATCAACATGTATCCCCCTCTTCTCATGTCTCTTCTACATCAACATGTGTCCCCTCTTCTTCATGTCTCTTCTACATCAACATGTATCCCCTCTTCTTCATGTCTCTTCTACATCAACATGTGTCCCCTCTTCTTCATGTCTCTTCTACATCAACATGTGTCCCCCTCTTCTTCATGTCTCTTCTACATCAACATGTGTCCCCTCTTCTTCATGTCTCTTCTACATCAACATGTGTCCCCTCTTCTTTCATCGTCTCTTCTACATCAACATGTGTCCCCTCTTCTTCATGTCTCTTCTACAATCAACATGTGTCCTCTCTCATTCTATCAAGGTCTCTTCTACAGCAACATGTGTCCCCTCTTCTTCATGTCTCTCTACATCAACATGTGTCCCTCTTCTTCATGTCTCTTCTACTCAACATGTGTCCCCTCTTCTTCATGTCTCTTCTACCATCAAACATGTTGTCCCCTCTCATGTCTCTTTACATCACATGTCTCTTCGTGTTCTACATCAACATGTGTCCCCTCTTCTTCATGTCTCTTCTACATCAACATGTGTCCCCTCTTCTTCATGTCTCTTCTACATCAACATGTGTCCCCTCTTCTTCATGTCTCTTCTACATCAACATGTGTCCCCTCTTCTTCATGTCTCTTCTAATCAACATGTGTCCCCTCTTCTTCATGTCTCTTCTACATCAACATGTATCCCCTCTTCTTCCATGTCTCTTCTACATCAAACATGTGTCCCCTCTTCTTCATGTCTCTTCTACATCACATGTGTCCCCTCTTCTTCATGTCTCTTCTACATCAACATGTATCCCCTCTTCTTCATGTCTCTTCTACATCAACATGTGTCCCCTCTTCTTCATGTCTCTTCTACATCAACATGTGTCCCCTCTCTTCATGTCTCTTCTACATCAACATGTATCCCCTCTTCTCCATGTCTCTTCTACATCAACATGTATCCCCTCTTCTTCATGTCTCTTCTACATCAACATGTGTCCCCTCTTCTTCATGTCTCTTCTACATCAACATGTGTCCCCTCTTCTTCATGTCTCTTCTACATCAACATGTATCCCCTCTTCTCCATGTCTCTTCTACATCAACATGTGTCCCCTCTTCTTCATGTCTCTTCTACATCAACATGTATGCCCTCTTCTTCATGTCTCTTCTACATCAACATGTGTCCCCTCTTCTTCATGTCTCTTCTACATCAACATGTGTCCCCTCTTCTTCATGTCTCTTCTACATCAACATGTATCCCCCTCTTCTTCATGTCTCTTCTACATCAACATGTGTCCCCCTCTTCTTCATGTCTCTTCTACATCAACATGTGTCCCCTCTTCTTCATGTCTCTTCTACATCAACATGTGTCCCCTCTTCTTCACGTCTCTTCTACATCAACATGTGTCCCCTCTTCTTCATGTCTCTTCTACATCAACATGTGTCCCCTCTTCTTCATGTCTCTTCTACATCAACATGTGTCCCCTCTTCTTCACGTCTCTTCTACATCAACATGTGTCCCCTCTTCTTCATGTCTCTTCTACATCAACATGTGTCCTCTCTTCTTCATGTCTCTTCTACATCAACATGTGTCCCCTCTTCTTCACGTCTCTTCTACATCAACATGTGTCCCCTCTTCTTCATGTCTCTTCTACATCAACATGTGTCCCCTCTTCTTCATGTCTCTTCTACATCAACATGTGTCCCCTCTGTGGAAAGAGACTCTGAAAGTTTCAGGAACAAAGATTCTCTCTCTTTTTGATCCATTTCTATAAAAACCTGTCTGAAAATGAGCTGATCATATTTTGGCCACTTTGTGATGTCATAACGATTTTTTGTCTTGTGTAACCATTAGCCAATCAGCAACCAAGGTAACCCCCCCCCCCCCCCTTATCACCTGAATCTCCTCCTAGAGCACCATTGAGTTCTTTGTAACCAAATGTCTCTCAGAGGGGCGTGGGGAGGGGCTCCTTATTTTCATCTAAAGTAACAGACAGAGAATCAGCACTTTGGAAACAGGGCTGAAACAGAGGGGATTATGGGTAATGCTGCAATGATCTGTTTGGTGTTTCAGCCAATCAGAGACATGTTCTGTATATATCCGGGACCTGTGATATATTGATGAAAAACAGTATAATGGGGACCTTTAAAGTTACAACCGGCCCTTTGAGTGCAACCTTAATGCTGATTTGTCCCCCGATGAAATTGAGTTTGAGACCCCTGATCTAACACATTGAAAATAATACAACACCAAGAAAAGAGAACTCCTTCCAGATGTTTCCTTGACTCCCTGGTGTTGATCAGCTACCTGACCAACGGGCTGACGTCTCTCGAGCGTTTCCCCATCAGCTTTAAAACCCAGTTCTCCGGACACTGCTTCCACCACGTGGTTCTGGGCGTTTACTGCAACGGGCGCTACGGGTCGCTGGGCATGAGCCGGCGCCCCGACCTGATGGACAAACCGCTGACTCACCGCACGCTGGGGGAACTGGTGGCCGACTTCGAGAGCTCCTACAAGAGATACCAGCACACTCTGAAGAAGGTGAGAGAAGTTGGAATCAAAGTAAACTTTATTTATATAGCACTTTTATCACACAAGGGTTACTCAAAGTGCTTCACAAACCGGACACATAGACATTTACAAATAAAAACAATACCATCTCCCCCTCCCAGGTAACACTTCATACCAATGCACCACTGAATAAAATATAAAAATAAAATAAGAATAAAGCACAATCCCCCTTCCTCTCCAGGTGAAGATCGGCCTGTATGTGCCTCACGACCCTCACGTCTTCCAGCCAATCGAATGGAAGCATTTGGTGTTGAACGCCGCCCGACTGGGACCTCAGGAGATGAGGAAGGAGCTGGAGAAACACGGCCGGGACATGAGGATGAAGGTAAAACTCTGCACATATTAACATACACCTTAGGGTTTTATAAAAAAGTTATTAATCCCTTAATCTTATCCAAAAGAATCGTACTTCTTGGTGTTGTCCTCTATTTTGTTCACTGACGCTTCGGATAAGAACGTTAAACAAATGCTTAATGTTCAGAACCTGATACTTGCTATCATTACATTACTATACTACATTACATTCAGCTAATGCTTTTATCTAAATTGACGTACATACACTTTGTAGATGTAGCTCTTTGTAGTGGGGGTTGAACCAGCGACCCTCCGATAGACGGTCGTTTAACCCCTGAGCCACATTCTCCCTTTTATTAGCAGAGTTGTCTAATGGCGCATTTCCACTGCAGGGCCTCGCGCGGCTTATAGTATAGTATTCGTTTATTTGTCCCCGAGGGGAAAATGGGTTGCAGCACATCACAAAGGCATTTAAGACAATACATCACTGACAACAACATACAGTAGACACAGATAAAAACAAACAGACATAAGAAAACCAGATATCGGCAGACATGACGAGGCGCCTATAGGCCCTCATTTGCGAAATAGGGGGGACAGGGCCAGACCAGCTGAGTAAACAGTGCGTCCTAGCCATCATTTGTTCAGGAGTCTGATGGCTTGTGGGACGAAAGAAAGCCTAGATCTGTTCTTTTTGAAATAAGGGGCACGATATCTCCGCCCGGATGGCAACAGTTCAAAGTAAGAGGCAAGAGGGTGCCTCAGGTCACTCACAATATTGTGTGCCAGTTTTAAAACTCTGTCCTTATATAAGCATTCTATATTAGCCAATGAGATTCCTGTCAATTTACTGGACACTGTTACGGTATGGTTAGGCCTTGGTAGGCCAGGCTCACTTTATGCTGCGTTTCCATTATATATATATATATATATATATATATATATATATATATATATATATATATATGTACCAGGATCATAAATAAATAAAAAATACAAGTGAATAAAAGTTAAATTTCCCTGCTAAATAACACCTTTTCTGAACTTCAGCGTAGTTTTGTTAAAAGCATGTCGTCTGAAGGAGGGGAAGAAACTTTGCAGCATGCAGCCAGGGGCAGAGAAACACACACACACATAACAGATGGTAACAACAGGAGTATTCAAAGAGTGCGTCAGAAGTGAAACCGTTTTTAGCCGTACAACCAATGTAGTTCAATACAAAAGACCAACATGCCTCTGCGCCTCAGATCAAGGAGGCCAAATATGACCTTTATACAAATAAATGATTTACCAGTTTGTTTAAAAACACACTCTCAGGATGTACACAGTTACTATACAGGGTCACATGTGTTATAAGTCACTCCATTCAGCAAATTGACTTAATGTTCTCCTAAATGTGACTCACACCTTATTAGATCTATTTAACCCGGTTACCAGGTTCCTGCTTGCGTCTGTCAGAAAGTTATTTTCATATTGAACCTTTTTACATCGTTTTTTGTATAATATTTATTAGTTTTTATTCATCTCGATATAGGCAGTACTCATTTGAATGTAAATGCCTCAGTCTGGTCTTAAGTTTAACGTTTTAACACCAAGTTTTCTTCTCGTGGAATGACCCCAACTCTCCGATGGAAACACTTTTATTATATGTTTCCATGAGACCAGAGATGGATGGAGTTTCCTTCATGGCGAACATGGAATACAAACTGTCACGAATGATTTAGGGCATGATGGGGAAGGAAGGAATGGTTGTGTGTGGTGTGGTGTGTGTGTGTGTGTGTGTGTGTGTGTGTGTGTGTGTGTGTGTGTGTGTGTGTGTGTGTGTGTGTGTGTGTGTGTGTGTGTGTGTGTGTGTGTGTTCGTGTGTGTGTGTGGTGTGTGTGTGTGTGTGTGTGTGTGTGTGTGTGTGTGTGTGGTGTGTGTGTGTGTGTGTGTGTGTAAGAGGGGGAGACTCAGGGAAGTAGGTTGATTAAGGTTAAATGTTTTATGAACCCTTGGGTTTTTATTTGTAATTTTCTATTGGTTTACTTATTGCTTTCTTTTATATTTTTACTGCAGCACATGTGAATGAAATGAAAGTGGTGTGTGTGGTTGTGTGTGAGATGCTGGTGTTGTGGTGACAGTGGTTCTGTATATGGAACGCCTTGC